TTCCATCTTTGAGAATTATATCATTTATATGGGGATACCCTCCTCGTCATACACACAAAACAGACAAGCATGCAATAGACGTGTAACTATTGAATGCTAAAATAATAAATCAAAGACAAATTAAACAAAAATAAACATAGAATTCCATAATATTCTATCAATAAAGAGTATCATAGCTAGGGTTCATCTAATCCAAACAACAATAAGGATTAGTTCATGAGGGATGAGGGAACAAACAATGATGAAGAAATTATCTTCATAGTATAAGTATTGATCGATGGCTCCAAGTTGACTCCTCCGGGATAGAGCTGCCAAAAAATCCTCTTTTTCTTCCCTCTACCTCATATTTTTGTTGTTTTAGGTTAAGTCGGACTGAACTGTCCATTGGAAAACTTGAATTGGAGCTTAAATAGGTAAAAATCCGAGACTAGGCACAACCGTGTTCACCTCAGAATATTATTTTTTTCCTTCTTTCTTTCACATTTACGATGAGTTGCCGATTCCCGAGCACCCCCGTGACACAACTATGCTCTAAGCCATGTTGGGCTAGTAAAAAATCTTCAAATCATGTCCAAATGCTCTTCAAATCGCCCCGAACTCCATAACTTCCATCTTTACTATGTTTTTTGTTCAACTATCATCAAATTCACTCAAGGTGTCCTAAAATACACTAAAAACAAACCTCGCATACAACTGAAAAAAAAAAACATATAAATCTTGTTGAAATGATAAATGATGTGAAATGGGGAGTATAAATATGTATAATTTATAGTGTACAAATGTTGAGGACAAAACCTGAAAAATACTCAAAGTTAACAGTGCATATGTTCTCCCAAATCTGCCACAATATAGAGTTCACATGCACAACCAAATAAACACTTTCTAGAGTCTCCGAGTAAGATAATAACTAGTTAATGAAACTAGTTATGAATCGAATATCCCAAGGACACATTAAATTTGACAACCCAACCAACACTCATAGTCGAGAAGCAAGCAGACATTGAAAAAATAGATGTTCATGGATTCTCCTTTCAAATTACAAACTGGACAGAGGTCTGCAGTTTCCAACCCTCGACTTATCAACCCTTTGATAGTTGGCAATACTCGCCTGTTGTCAGAAAAAATATTTGAGTTTTGGTTGCACTTGCAAAAGACTAAACTTTCTTCCAGAGCCCCGAATCCACTACTGATACTTGTCATTGATTCCTTGGCAGTTTTGATAGCCCAAATTCAAGATGGTATGATGAATATACTGTAAATATTATGGAGGAATCATAGTGCCAAATTATCTCATATTGAACATGTTGTATAGGAAGGGGAACTAAGACAATAAGCTTAATGGATTCAAGGCTGAAAAAAATCAGCGGGTGCCTCAATATTCCACCCTTTGGTTATTAAAGTAATGAATACACAACTCCTCGCCATTAATGGCAGAACACAACTGCGGAGAAATGTTTTTGAAACGGTTGCAATAGACCCTTGCTAACATAGAAGTAGGATCTTATAGAATTCTCCAATTTATTTTCGCGGGTAGTGCTTGGTTAAATGCAACGAAGTCTCAAAATTCCAAACTTACACTCGCTTTGGCTTCACACAAACTTTGCAAATCAATCCAATGGATTCTCCGCTTTTCCTGAATCCTTCCCCACCAGATGCGTGGAACAATGGCATTTGATCGACAAAAAGTTATGGTGACAATTAAAATTAACTCATGACATGTATGGGCATCAGAGTCATCCAATGAATAGTGGAGGCCCTATTCTAGAATTGAGAAATTGTCCAATTTTTTTAAATATAGTAAAATAAAAATGGTCATATCATTGTTATTAAAACAATAAATTGAAATAAAAGTATTTAACTCTTCAAATTTTGTATAAATGCTAAGAGAAAGCATTTTCAATCATCATCGTTAATCCATTAAGGATTTCTTGTGTCATTTTATAATCCAAATAGGATTTTTAAAATTAAGATAGGACATTGATGATAAATATGCATGTCTACTCCTCCAATTAAAATGCATTATTATAACCATACTTAATCAACCATACACCACAAATTCATCATATAGTATATAACTAACAGACCTATAGAGGATGTCCTCGATATTTGAAGACCCTATCCAGGAGGGCCTCCCAACACACCCCATTGGTCGGGCTTGATGAGCATGGATGTTGCAATCAACTTAATCAATGTCTCGTTGGTAACAGGTGAAAATGCTTGGCGTTTCCATCCTTGTAGCTTAGTTAATAGATCCTCTTCCAAAAAAAAAAAAATTCTTGCTTGGATCACCCAATAAGAGAAGGTAAACCCAGGTGACGATCTTGTGTCCTAATAATCCCCACTCCTAAATTCGTACCCAACTCTGTTTGTATTATAGATGGAGTGTTGTGACTGAAAAAATCGAAGACTTCAATAAGTTCTCTTTTCGGCCATTGATAGAATCATAATCATGTAAACTTGTAATAAATTATGACATTCTCCTGGAGACACTCGTAAGAACAAGAAGGCGTCATCTGCAAAAAAAAAAAAAAAGTGAAATTGATGGCGAGTTGTACCCCATTCTCAAACCATACACTCTACCATTCAGGGTCACTTATCACATCATAATAGAGAGACCTTTCGTATGAAGATCAAACCAAGAGGTGACAAAGGATCACCCTGACGCAAACCCATTGTCAAATGAAAATACTCTAAGGGAGTACCATTTACCATCATTAGAAAAAGCGTTTATGGTAACACATTCATTTACTCAATTGATCTAGGTAACCCCAGATGTTGTAGCAAAGCAAACATGAAGGGTCACTCAAGATTATCATTAGTTTTTTACATGTCTAACTTCAAAGCCATAAAATTTCCTCTCCATGAACGCCAATTTTTTTAGATAAACCATTCCTCATGTGTAGCTAAAATGTTTTCTACAATCTGTCTCTTCCTCACAAACCTGTTCTGTTTAGCACCCACCATATGCGGTAAGATAATGCCCAATCTAGATGTTATGATTTTTGTAATCACCTTGTAAATGAATTGTCATGAACTGATTGCTGAGCCATCCATTTCACAAAGTTGACCTTGGGGATCAAAGCTACCCACGTGTGATTAAAATTATGCAACAATCTACCTATTTCAAAGAACAAACAAACCGCATGCACCACACTAGAACCCATAAATCCAAAGGTTTTTGAAGAACGCATTTGTAAACCTATATGATCTCGGTGTTCTTTTAGCCCACATAGGGAAGACCAAGTTCTGACCTCTTCCACAGTCATATTCTTGAGAAGGTGACTGTTCATTTCCACATTCACTAGACAAGGGAATGGTATGTTTGATTGAATCTGTGTTGCATCATCCACCCCCTTTAATTGTGAAGCAAAAAGATGTTGCAGTGCATAACTGCCACAACCTATTTATCAGCATCAGAAGTAACCCAATCCCCCTTCGAATGTGAAGTCCCTAAATCCTGTTGCACCGTTGAATAGTTCTAGTCACCATTCTAAAAGAGCGGGTATGTTGATCTTCCTTTTGAAGCCAATATATTAGAATCGTTATTTCCAAAAAGCTTCCTCCAAGGCCCAAGCTTGAGATAACTATGTCTTTAAATAACTATATACAATCCCATCCATTGGATTTGAGTTCTCGAGGGTCGCTCTTCTACCCCACAGTGGACCAATGCGACATACCTAATTTGTGGTGCCCATTTTTGGCTATTGAAACAACTTATGGCGAGTTTCCTTAAGACAATACCACATTTGAAAACAAGGGGAGCCCTCAACTTACGCCTCCTAAGCTTCCACAACAGTCAACCTCGCTTCTTGGTTGGTCTTCCATCTAGCGTCAAAACGGAAGAGAGATTGAAATTTTGGAGTTTTGAATGAAAGATGAAAAAGAATGGTACGGTCATCCAATCCCTGATCCATAAGATGGAGAATGAAACAAACCAGCTAATTTAGCAACCACGAAAAAGAGATCAAGGCCATATCCAATAGACTTTGATCTAAAGTAGTTCAGGCGCGTCTGTTAGTCCAAGTAAACTTCGTACCAATAAAACCAATGTCTATAAGGCCCAAGTCATTAATAAAAGTTTGATTTTTTTTTTGAATTTGACTAAGTTGAAATGGACTGCTCCTTCCTTATCAGCAAGCGTTAAATGGAATTGAAATTTGCAATTAAAGCAAAAGGAATAACAAATATTAAAACAAAATTAAGATATATGGTAAAATTGAGTGGCCTTAATCGAATCAATAAAAATAATATAAACTAAGATGAGAATATAAGGCGAAGAATCATAGCAAGTTCCATGCCTATATAAAACAAATTCTAACACAAAACAAAGATTGAAAGTGCTCAGGGACGTTCCCGACCGAACAGAATTGACCACAACACATTGAGAATAAACTAACGATTGAACATTAGGTTTCACCATAGCACTACTATTATTAGTTTCAACTAAAAGGAGAAGATAATGAAAATAAGAATAAAGTAGAGTATCTACGACTAAATTGTCAAGGTTGATCATAACCTTGACAATTCAAAGCCATAATTGCCATTTGGCCCAAGGTCAGAATCAAAAGTGAAGTCTGATTTGAGTCTCGACCTTTACAATTTTCAACTTGGGGTGCAATTCAAGGTTGACTTCCCATAAGGTAACCCACTCTTGTTGTACTCCACACCGAGCACGTTTAATTCAGGAGTTCTCACAAGAACTTCTCCATTTCACCCCAAAACACATCTTGTCAGTTAATGCCAATTTTCTACTTATGAACATAAATCTCTCCCGTACTTTGTCGATGTGGGATTTGCCTAACGTGTTTCTATAGTCATACGTGGTCTCGTCCTCATATTGGGCAAACTGCTACTCGGCCCTGGTTATGCTTCAATTGGGCCTGATTGTGGCCCAATATGGCCGAGTCTATGGTCCAGCAATATTCGGGCTTCCCCAACTACGAATAATTCCCGCTGCTAGGGTTTTTCTGCAGACTATATATTTACATCCATAACCTAGTTTTCGCCATTTCCAATACCCTCCTTGAGTTGCCGCTGCTTCAGAGCTCTTCGCAGAAACACAGAGCAGCAATGGGACGAGTCATTCGAGCTCAGCGTAAGGGTGCCGGCTCTGTCTTCAAGTCCCACACCCACCACCGCAAGGGACCGGCCCGCTTCCGCTCGCTCGACTTCGGCGAGAGGAATGGCTACCTCAAGGGCGTCGTGACGGAGGTCCTTCACGATCCCGGCAGGGGCGCGCCGCTCGCTAGGGTTACCTTCCGCCATCCTTTCCGCTACCAGAAGCAGAAGGAGCTGTTCGTCGCCGCCGAAGGGATGTACACTGGACAGTTCGTGTACTGCGGTAAGAAGGCCAACCTTATGGTTGGAAACGTCTTGCCTCTCAGATCTATCCCCGAGGGAGCAGTCGTCTGCAACGTCGAGCACCACGTTGGTGATCGTGGTGTCTTCGCTAGGTGCTCTGGTGATTATGCCATCGTTATCAGCCACAATCCTGATAACGACACCACTAGGTAGTATTACCTCTCATCTGTGCTCGCCTTGTTTCGTTTTATCTAGGTGTTTATCGAATGAGATATAGGCTTGTTAGGGCTTTTTCTAGATTGGTGTTATAGTAGTATGTATTGGTACTTGCTCTACGCCCGCTGAACTTTGATTAGGTCTTTGATTGTTTCTTCTGGAATGGTGTGATATCTTGATTTGGTTTTGCTCTTTTTCGTTGTGGGTAAGTTAGGTTATTGAATAATTCCTCAATGACCCATATCAAAATCTCAAATTTGCCGTATGGCTATGTCTTTGGTTTGTATGTTGTTATTGCATATCCCCATTTGATGAGATTTATCTCGTGGTATTCTATAATTATCATGGTCTACAGATAAGTATAATATGTTTCATGTTTAGGAAGTCGTTTTGTTAGTGATCTTGTTTACTCTGGTTTCCCTTAGAGATCCCCTGAAGCCCTAAATTTGAAACTCTAAAATTTGTTGGTTATCCATAGATGTAAAGTGTTAATGTTGGGATCATGTTTACTGCTGCAGGGTCAAGCTTCCATCTGGTGCTAAGAAAATTGTGCCAAGCGGCTGCCGCGCCATGATTGGACAAGTTGCTGGAGGTGGTAGAACTGAGAAGCCTATGCTCAAGGCTGGTAATGCTTATCACAAGTACCGGGTGAAGAGGAACTGCTGGCCTAAGGTGCGTGGTGTGGCTATGAATCCAGTTGAGCATCCTCATGGTGGTGGTAACCACCAGCATATTGGTCATGCCAGTACGGTGAGGAGGGACGCACCACCTGGGCAGAAGGTTGGTCTTATTGCCGCGAGGAGAACTGGTCGACTCAGGGGCCAGGCTGCTGCTACTGCTTCCAAGGCGGACAAGGCATAATCCTGTCTATTCGAGTTTTTGGGATTTGTTTTTGCTACCTACCTGCAATTTAGATCATTTTGAGGAGACAGTGTTTGTAGTCTTGTTCTGATAAGACGATGAAGATGTTGGTTTTAATGGTTTTGTTCCTTTATGCTGGATTAAGATATACTTGTGCGCCATTTTATTTGGGATTCGACCCGTCTCTTCTTCCCAGTTCGATGTTATTATGCATGATTGAAAGTTTTCCAATTGGATCTTCTGCTATGGAGATTTCAGGCTAAGTTAATCAACTGCTCTTGTTGGCTTTTCGGTAGTAAATGATGCTTGAGAATTTATGGGCGGTAGTATCTTTGCTTGTGTAGTCCAAGCAACCCAAAAACGATACTTCGTAATCCAAGCAACACAAAAACTCCCACATTGTATGGAGAAGCTTTTTGAAATCCTCATGGGTAGTCCTTAATGGAAGGGAGGTTGAAGTGGAATGAACCTGACTTCCACCTTCTTGGTTGCCCCATAAAACTTCAGCTTAACCCCATTCAGATGTGGGTAGATGCACCCACATGCATGGTCCATGAAATCGTACCGGAAAAGTCAGCGATAGGGTATTTTATGACAAAATCGTGGTTTAACCGTAGTTCAACCGTTAGTACCGTTAAATACCGTCTATCGGTTTAGCCTCCGATACTGGTATTTTGTGGTTGAACCGTCGGTACGGTACGGTTTAATGGATCATGCCCACATGTTGAAGAATCTATTGGAAACCATGATTCAACCTAAACAAAAACACCTTCAAACGCAAAGTTGGAAATAAAATAAATAAAAAACAACTGAATTAACAAACTTAAGCATTTCCCAATAACTTAGAAATCTCTGGTAACAATGAAAAAAACTTGAATCACTCTAAACTACTCTCCAAATCGCAGGTCAAGTATAACTAACAATCTGGTGTAGTACAGTGGAAGTAAAGTAATAAAATTACCGAACCCTAGGGTCTCTAGGTGTACTATTGCCCTGCTTTTGTTTGTTATCTAGCCACATAAGATTGAGATTAAGAAACTAAATTAACTAAACTACCATAACACCTACACTAACTAATTACAAATTGGGAGTTCACATAGGCATTGATTCCCACTAGCCAATAACCAGATCAATTGTTGATGATCCTCTAACTCGATTTATTCGTCATTCATAATGCGGAGGATCCTTGACGAGACCTTTAATCTCTTTTTGAGCAATCAAGACCCTCTTAAGTGGATTGCTTAGAGGCCCTTAACCTTTTCTATATAAACCGATCAAAGCGTTCGACACTAGACTATCTCTATTTGGTGAGGTTCCTGCACAATACAAAGCAAATACCCGAATAATGCTAGTGAAATCGACCCCTTACTCCCATGGTGCTCTATTGTCCTAACAAGATATTCTCTATCATAGGGTCAAAGCATAATCAACAATACACAATGGAGCCACAAAATCAAGCATATATTGGATATGAACTCAAGAATCAAGATACAAGACTCATGCAATCATTCAATCCAGCTACACATGGCTAGGGGTGGTAAACGGTAATCCGGTAAACGGTTTACCGTTTTACCGAACCGGTAACCGGCGGTAAACGGTAAACCGTTTACCGGCGGTATCGGTAGCCGAGTGGGAAGTTGGGGGAGTCGGTTTACCGGACACGGTATCGGTAAATACCGACGGTAAATCGGTATTACCGATACCGAATCCCCCTTACTACTCCCTAGTGCTGCGCTGCGTTTTGTTGCTTTATTATGAAAAATATTACATCATTATTCACAAATATAAAATATTACATACATGAATGTAAGTATAGGCCTAAAAAATATTGTAAATAAGAGTTAATAATAAATTATTAATTACAAAAATGATGAAAAAAACTCAAAAAACTCAAAATATTACAACATCACCCCACTTCCAGAAATTCGGTTCGGTAAATATTCGGTAAACCGACCGAAAAAATCGCCCGAAATCGCTTCTCACGGTATTTCGGTAATACCGGTTTGTTACCGTTTACCGGTAATTCGGTAATCGGTAAACCGGTTACAAACCAGTATCGGTAATCGGTAACCAGTTTGGCCAACTTCGGTATACCGAAACCGGTAAATTCGGTAAACGGTAAATTGTTTACCGACCGAATCCCACCCCTACACATGGCTAAGGTTCATCCAAACTTTATTAAAGGAGAACTATTCCATAAAGAGGAGAGAGAATACAATATAAGGTTTAAGATCTTCAATCTCTATGCCTAGGGATGCTATTCTAGCTCCAATGGTCTTCCTAGGTTGATCTCCCTGTCTTTGGAACACCCCTTGGATGTTTTTGGTAAAAAACCCAGCTCTCATCTCTCAGAATTACAACAACTTTATACAACAGTTTGCACGAGTCATTGTCATAAGTCATGGTCTTGAAATCGAGCAAGGTCGTGACATCAGCAAAAAACGTGTCATTTTGGCCACTGGAACGTCCCAAGTCACCCCATGTGTCATAAGTCACGACCACGACAGTGACTTGGGACACTCATCCCATGACTTGTGCACTGGCCGTGACTTGTATAAAACCTACTTCCTTTTCGCTCATCTCACTGCCTATTTGTCGAATGTCACGTCTCAGGCCGTGACTTGTGCACAACCTCTACTTTTTGGCCCATTTTGACCTCCAAATGCCCCGAAACTCGATCCTAAACTTCCCCCACGTATGAGAACCTAAAATTGGTCGAGGAACTAGTATATCAATGCCAATCAATCAAGAAATGAGGGTCAAAATATGTATAAATATACACTTATCAGTGGTTCTTATAAATATGCACTTTATCTTGTAGTAGGGATAGTTAAAAATTACTCATCAATTTTATGAACGATAAAATGTGATTCATCATGTTATAGACCATGGTCAATGGTGAATTGGCGAAGAAATATTTTTTTCTTAGAGCTGTTAGTCATTGGGACGGAAAATTGGAAAGAAGCACGATTTAAAGACATAGGTGGTACTCGACGTCCTATTCTAACTTAAGTGGTATAGCTCCCTCAATTCTCAAAGTTAAGTGGTACTCAAGGTATTTTATCTAGCAACATTGACTTTGAAGGGGGTGAGAGGGAGAATAAGAGAGTGGGAAGGGAGACGAGTGGAGGGGATCTGGCGGAGAGAGGAGAAGGAGATGGTGGGTGTGTTAGGAGGCTTATTAGGATTTTTGAATGGGAGGTGGGTTTCTAATAGATATATGTATGATATATTTTATTTCATTCGTTAAATTTTCAAATTACTACCTTATTTGTCTATGTATTTTAAAAATATAAAACGACTCAAACATATTGGATTTCAATCATACCATTAAATCTTAAACCACTTACTTCATACCATCTCCAACAATAGGGTAAAAAAACAAAAGATTCAAATTTGAGCCGGATATAGAGTTACAACAAAAAAGTGGAAAATTCTCTGCCCCACTTTTCTTTCCTACAAACGCGCCATATGAAAAGATTCATTCACACATGCAGGTAGGGATGGCAATCAAACCCATGGCCGCGGGTACCCGACCGCCCCATACCCAGTCAACGCGGGGAATCCCCGCTTTGACCGGGTATGGGGCGGGTATGGGTAAAACCCGCAAAAGGTTTGATGGGTATGGGGCGGGTATGGTTTTAGCCTCCCCCGCCCCATACCCATACCCATGCCCGCCCCACCAAGAGAATTTCTTCACATATCAAAAAATACGTGGATTAAATTGTAATCTATCAATGATGATGATGATGATAACTCGAGAAAATAAATAGTAGAAATGCAATTGAGTAACCACCTTATTCAAAACCTAATTCATTTCCCTCAATTATCCTTCCACTCTTTCACTTTCCCCCTTGTCAACAAAATTATGTTAGTTAATTATTACTTAGTAAATGTATCAAGAGTTAGAGCATAATAATTTAAAAAATATTATAGTCTATATTATGTATGAATGGATGTTTTAGGATCATATTCTTTGAATCGTATTTAGAAAATGACCGTGTTTTGTTGACTTCGTGATATAATAGGTTTGTTTATGGTTATAATTAAAACTTTTCTTGTAAGTTTTAGGTATAATAATGTTGGATGTACAGGGATGGGTATTACCCATGGGTACCCGAAACCCACGGGTATGGGGATGGGTTTGCAAAACATTCCCCCGCATGGGTATGGGGCGGGTATGGGTTTGGGTATTTGAAGATGGGGATGGGGATGGTTTAGGCAAACCCGCCCCAAACCCGCCCCATTGCCATCCCTACATGCAGGGCATTCTCTTCCTTCCCTCGCTTGGCATACACACACTTTGGCGGGATTCCTTTCTATTTTTTCTTTGTGTTTGGGGGGCTCTTCCTTGGTTACTTTTCAACATTAATTTTTTTTGCCAAGTATAACCTATACCCGGGTGTAGTATAGAGCAAGTATATTTCAATTATCAAATCCTGGCGGTCTACATAGCATTACTTTAGCAATCTACAAATATCTAGCAATCAGAATGTTGTTTAAAGCTATGTAACTAAACAAGATAATAACTAAAATAATGTTTAATTCATGTGAGGAAATTTCACTTGGATGATTATCCCCCTAATCCCATGTTGAGATGAGAATGTGTTACTCTACTACGATAGGCATGTTCCATATAGTGTTAGGAGATCTAAAATAGTTAGGATCCTATTCGAGTGCATCCTAACTCGCTTAATCGGTCTAATGGAGGGGCGTGCCATACTACTGCAAGGCAAACAATTCCACTCCCTCAGTGATTGGCGCAAAACATAATAGAGTCACCAATCACAATGATTCATGTCACTCTACATTGATTGAGTAGGGACCCAAATTGTCATAAGAGGATCTTCTCTCTCTAGATCAATTTGCCCAAAATTGAGGGATTTCATCAAGAACACTCAATTTGGATGAAAAATACTTAATCAATATATGATTAACAATACCCTTAACACAGAGTTCATAAACATTAATCTACAACATCCTGTACTAGGGTTCACATCATCCAAGTGAAAAGAGAAACTACTCCATAGGTATAGAAAGAACAACAATTAGAAAAGAGGAAAACCCCATGGAAACTTGATTCTCCTTACTAGTTGCTTGGATGGATGATTGGAGATGAAATCTAGCCTCCAAATGGCTTGGGTAGGTCAAATCCACCTACAATGCTCCCTTGTTAGTAGCTCTCTCTAGGTTGTGGAAGAAGAACTCCAAACTCTCTTTAGAACTGTCTCCTCAAACTTCGCTCTCTCTCTCTCTCTCTCCTTTATATAGCCTGTGAGGGCACGTTTCACAGTTGCACATCACACACGTGAAGTGTGCAACAAAACTGTGATCTCAGCGCAAAGTGCATTGTTTCATTAACACACTTCACGGTTTCTCTGTTGACTTCATAGTGTAGGGCCTTGATCCTTACAATGCCCGCGAGGCGTGATCGAGCTCCTGGAACTTTGCAATCTTCAGGTCTTCTTTGTAATCTTCACAGTCTGTTGCCCGTGATATTTGCCGCCAAAGCATGATCCTTGCACTTTCCTTCGTTTTGCTCCCTTTTCAATCCCTTTTGTCCAACTTTTGATCCTTTCGCCCATTCTACCTGATAAAGTCTGAAAAATGCCAAAACAAGACCAAACCTAGCATAAAATGGCTCCAAGGATGGTGCTAAACAAGTCAATCGACAGAAGGCAAGAGGTATACAAGTGTACAATCTATCTCGAATCACGCTGCCATTTGCCCTCTTTTCTTTTCTCCATTCTTCCCCTTTAATTAACGAGAGGAATAATGCCATTGTGGATCAGTTTGATGCAATACATGCTAACATTGCTTATCCCATGCAAATCTAGATTTTTCTTCTTTTTGTTGTTGATTGGGATCGATTGAGATCTTGCTTTGGGTAATTATGGTGTTAGGGTAATTTGTTGTGCGAATGAGGGGGCAGTGAGAGGCCCCTAGAGAATGAGGGAGACCAGGGGAGCGGGTACAGTGATTACTACTTTTGTAGTAATCACTGTGGTTACTAAGGGTAAATTGAGTATGAAAAAATAAATTATATTAATTAATTAATTTTAATAAATTACATTTTAGGTAGTTACAAAAATTTATTTATTACAATTCAATCTCTTTCTCTCACTTCCGTAATCTCCAGCCAGATCTCCTTTCCATATTTTTCTCAATCTTTCTGCAAAAGAAAAAACACGAAATCACTACCAATCCATTAAACAACCACTACCATTTTAAAAAACATCAATACCATTGTAGAAAAAATCTATACCATTATACGAAAACTACCAATATAAACAATCTATACCATTACAAAAGTCAAATAAATACCAAAACAACCAATATCACCACTACTGTGAAATCAAAACAATACCATTGCATAAATAAATCAATATCAATAAACTAAAACTACCAATACAAACACTTTATACCATTACAAGAGTCAACCAATACCAAAATCAATCAATGCCACTACTATTATGAAATAAAATCAATACCATTGTGAAAAACAAACTATACCTTTTCATAAAACAAAACAATGAATCAATACCAAAACAAAAAATTACCAAATCATCACCATCTCACCCCCACCACAGCGTCTCTGAAATTCCAATGAAAAACAAATTATACCATTTTGATTGTGTCCACATGATTGGAATCTCCCCAGAAGAAAATACAGGCACAAACGAGACCAGGATTTTTGCCGCCGCCGCAGCTGATGTTCCTGCGAGGTTGATTCTTCCTTTGGGCCGCGACGTGCTGAACGACAGCAACAATGGTTCCGTCGGGAGCTCACCGGAAGATCGGGGGTGGCCGAGGGGAGGGGCTGGTGTAGGCGGCTAGCGGGATTGGTGCGACGGAGTGGTGGAGGCGGCTGCGGCGGGTTTGGCTGGAGGGAGGGTAGAACTAGGGTTTGGGTAGATTATATAGAATAATCGGGTGTGGTCACTTTTTCATTTCCAAAATTACCTTAAAAGAATCATGACCGTAAGATTAAAAAAGAAGGGAAAATATAAAATCTAATGGTATATAAAGAGGTTGTCACCGTGATTACTAAAAAACAAGTAATCACCCTAACCCATTCCGGGAGACCAGAGATAGAGGCAGAGAGAGTGAGAGATCGATAGAGACGAGAGAGAGCTGGTCAGAGGAGGAATAATAGGGGCGTCGTAATGGTTCGACTATGGTTAATGGATAATGTAACAGAAGGGTAGCTTTGGGAACTTGATAATAGTAGAGAGACAAAATTGACGTGAAAAATAGTAGAAGAATATGTTGGAGAAAATGCAATAGTAGAGGGTTACTTTTAACAATTAGGTTATGCTGGAACAAGTAAGGAAACCCCCGAACAGGCAGGGTATCCGAAATTCCGAATCTACGAGTATTCCCCTTTCCGGTTGTATGTCGGACAAGCGACATCGATCAACCCTTTTCTTTTTTCCTGGCCGGAATTCCCTCTCCCGTTCCTGAATACAACCCTAAGTCTTACCGCAGCCTCTATAGGAGCTCCGAATCCTCCTGTTGTTGCTAGCCAGCTTACACGACCCAGAAGTCTGATTTCTCTTGTCCATCTGCCCTTCAATTTGTCTACCCATTCGTGTTCCAAGTTTCGCTCTTTCTGTGTATTTCCCCCGGCTCTTCGCACTATCCTTTCCGCCTGATTTCAGCCATGGTTGATCGGAGCGGAGATCAAAAGGCCGATCCTTTCCTCCTGCAGTACCAACCGGCGGAACTTCGAATCGCATCGGAGTTCTTCAGCGAGTGGCTGCCTTTTCTTTCCCGAGGTCTATGCCACACCTGCTCCCGAACTCTGTCAGATCGAATTCGCTCTCTCCAGCCAGGTACTTTGAACAAATATAGGATTGTGAATTGTGTATTGTAAATCTAGGGTTTTCCCTTTAAACATTCTCGGAATAATTGGGACTTCCTCTTTTTTCGATTACCAGAATCCGATGCTTCGTCGGGGCAATTACGTTCGGGTCAAACCACAGTCTCTTCAATTGCGAGTGCTGCCCAATCTTGTGAGAATTGCACAGAAGATCACGAGGACGAGAATTTTGATCAGAATTCATTAGGAAGTTGGAAAGATGGAGCTGATGCGTGTCCTGCTTCAGTCCCGGAAGATTCTGCTAGTAGGGGATTGCTTGGTCCGCCGCCAGGAGCTGATAATAATACCTCAAGCCCTCGGAAGTCTTGGGCTGATATGGCGCAAGAAGATGAATTTGTGGATGAAGAAGAACAAGTTGATTCAATCAAAGGAGCAGTTGGTCTAGGTTGTTCTCCCCTGGTTACGAGAGCGGTAGAGAAGCCTCAGTTACCTAGGGAGCAGAGGGAGTACATTCGGTTCATGAATGTGAAGAGGAAGAAGGATTTTATGTGCTTCGAGAGAGTTCGTGGCAAGTTGATAAATATCCTCGACGGACTTGAACTTCACTCGGGTGTTTTCAGTGCCGCAGAGCAGAAGAGGATAGTCGATCGCGTTTTTGAACTGAAGGAGATGGGCATGAAAGGAGAGTTGAAAGGTAAGTTTCCAATCAGTCCATTACTATCTTTCGTCCTTCAGCCCGTTCTATTTTGCGAATTGGCACTCACTTCTATTGGTATGTGCTATTTCTGAGTTCTTGGCCAGCATAGATGCTTTAGGGGGGATAAAGATTGATCCAGCTGTGGGCTTAGGTTCTGATAGTACAGTCGGAGAATTGACAGGGTTCTTAGTATCAGTTCACTGTGTGTATCACGATTAAAACGTGGTCCACTCATTGCCTCTGCAGTTGCCATAAAGCTTTCTATCTTTATGTATTTGTTTCATGTCGTGTTCCATCTTAGACAGTAATATAGTTTATTTGTTCTTGTCTATGTTTTCCATCTTCTTCGGGTGGGAATACTGCATATAGTTTCTATGTGAACAGTTCATCGTCCAAGACGTCTGTTGGGGGTTGTTTTTCAGCTAACTGTTATAAATTGTTTCAATTACTAATTTAATCACTGTCTAATTCCTTCTTTAGAGCGCACATTTACTGCTCCTCAGAAGTGGATGAGGGGTAAAGGGCGTGTAACGCTACAGTTCGGATGCTGCTATAACTATGCAACTGTAAGGTCCCTTGATCCATTACCCTGCATGATGAAAATATTCATTTATGTTAGTACAAGAGTTTTGAAGTGGAACCTTTTCCATGCAGGATAGAACTGGTAATCCACCTGGCATTCTGAAGAATGAAATGGTTGATCCGATACCTCAACTTTTCAAAGTTATAATCAGAAGATTGGTCAAATGGCATGTTCTGCCTCCAACGTGTGTGCCAGACAGTTGTATAGTCAACATTTATGAAGAAGGGGACTGCATACCACCCCACATTGACAACCATGATTTTCTCCGACCATTTTGCACCGTATCTTTTGTTAGTGAGTGCAATATTGTGTTCGGAACCAAATTAGATATTTTGGGTCCTGGTGAGTTCTCCGGATCAGTAGCAATTCCTTTGCCTGTAGGGTAAGTCTGACTAGCAAACTTATTTCTTGCATCTCATTTTCTTTCATTTTTATTCTTGTTTGCTCTTTTCATCATAATTTCCTGTTCAGGTCTGTTCTTGTATTGAATGGAAATGGAGCTGATGTAGCTAAACACTGCGTGCCTTCAGTCCCCACAAAGAGGTACCCTCTAAAACTCATTTGGTTAAATCTTACGTTCATCGTTCAAAACACATTATACTCTTTATCTCATCTGCCTACTCATGCATGTGTTTTTTCTCCCAGGATATCCATCACGTTTAGAAAGATGGATGAGAAGAAATGGCCTGTTGGTTATGCACCAGAGCCTGATCTGCAAGGGATTGAACCATTGTCATTTGAAGTAGACATGACTAGTACTGTTAGGTCGAACTCTCCAAAACCAGAGCAGCTCCCGCCGAGAAGGCAGCCCATTGATAAAGAAGGCAAGACAGAAGCCAGAAGAGCAGCTTTCTCAGAACCTCGTTACGGTAACCGGGGAAGGAGGGGTCCTGGATCACGGCGGAGGGTAAAGGTGGATGTTGAGAGTTGAGTCTACAGAGCCAGTTGCCTGGATCATTGATTTCTAGTTGATCAGAGGAGCCTCTGCAGAATAGGTGAAAAGGGATAAGGAGGCGACACCTGTATTCGTTAAGGTTTTATAGTCGAGGAAAGTGCTTCTTAGTCTCTGATAATCTGATTCGTTGTCTTCTTTGCTATCTGCGGGGATATGTAACTTAGAGGGATTGAGAGCAATACTGGCTGGGCATATACATTTTGTGTGATTTGTAACATTGGCTTTCGTTTGGCAGCTATATAGCTTCTATTGGATTTTCAGTTTTAGGCGGCAAGCCTTGTGAACCAGGTGGGGGGTAGGTGATAACTCGTTGATGTGCGAGATATTGTATACATCTCAGAGTTATATTCGAAATTCCTATAATAAATCAGTTTTCGCCGTTAGTCGTGATTCCCCATCCTGTAGTTAGTTTTTCCTTTTGATAAATTCTCCATCTGGTTTCATTAACTAAACCTGACCTAAGGCTCTATTCTTCTGTTTTCTCTCTTCGCTAGGCTTAATTGCAAGTTTGGTCACTCAAATTGCTATAAAATTTCACGTTTGCCACTCAAATTAATTTATTCCATTTATAGTCACTCGAATTAATTGAACAGTTCAAGTTCAGTCACTCTCCGTTAACCTCCGTTAACTTTGACTGACGTGGCGGTCAACTCTGACAGTTGACCGTTAAATATGTGACGTGGCAAATAAAAAATAATTAAAAAATTAAATTAAATTTTTAGAAATTACACATCATTATAAAAAAAATTATAAAACCCCTTTCTTTCCCTTTTTCCCACTACTACTCTTTCTTTCCTTCCACAACAAAAGCTGCACCTCATCGACCGAAAGCTAAAGACCAAGACCCAGAAGCATCAACAACACTCAACACCCAAACCTGATCTCCATTTCCCTCTCCCTCTCTCTCTCTCTCTCTTGGTTTCCAATTACATGATTACTCTAGAAGAAGCCCACAGCACAGTGACTTCATCTTCTAGCTAGGTTCATCACATAAAAAGAAGAAGCGAAAAAGCTAAAGATTGGAATCACTACTTTTCCTTCTAGCTAGCTAGTACTATAGTTACCCACCACTAAACAAACTATGTTCCCCAACTTATCCTCATCTTCCCCTCCCTCCTCCTTAGAAAATGAAACCGCCACCGCCGCCACCAACAAGCGCAAGCGCCGCCCCGCCGGCACTCCAGGTACCTCCCACACGCCACATGATCCACCCGTTTCACTCCATCAATCATTCATCCTTGCTGAATTTCAATAATGTAATTTATTGAATTGTGTGTTGGTTATGGGTCTTGGCAGATCCAGATGCGGAGGTGGTGTCGCTGTCGGCGCGGACGCTGATGGAGTCGGACAGGTACGTGTGCGAGATCTGCAACCAAGGGTTCCAGCGGGAGCAGAACCTGCAGATGCACCGCAGCGCGGACGCTGATGGAGTCAGACGAGGGAGTTCCATTGCTTGTAGACGGGTTTGGATCGGAAGGCGGATTTTGTGTCCGGTAGACGAATGAGGAGTTCAATCAGGATGTGTAATTTTTTTTCATTTTTTATAAATTTTTTTTATAATGATGTGTAATTTCCAAAAATTTAATTTTTATTTTTTAATTATTTTTTATTTGCCACGTCACACATTTAACGGTCAACTGTCAGAATTGACCGCCACGTCAGTCAAAGTTAACGGAGGTTAACGGAGAGTGACCGAACTTGAACTGTTCAACTAATTAGAGTGACTATAAATGGAATAAATTAATTTGAGTGGCAAACGTGAAATTTTATAGCAGTTCGAGTGACCAAACTTGCAATTAAGCCCTCTTCGCTAATACTAGTTTGGACGGTAGTTTGCTGTTGGTCCGACCCGTCATCTAAATGCCATTTGAATATGACGTATTTACAATGTACATTCTACAGTTTAAAAATGTTTAAAATGTGTATTTCTATCTAATAGTTAAATTAATTGTTAAAATCAAATTAAATAATTAAACTATCAAACACCAAAGAAGTACTTAAAGAAGAGTTAAAAATCGTAGGGGAAAAGTCATATGTTTTTAGGATTTTAAGTTTCTATATGGTTTTAGTTTAAAAATATACATCAAATTTCTTTAGTGTAAAAATTAATGATTCATGTCCGTTTTTAAAGAAACCATGGCTCGAATTTTAGGATTGATGTATTTTTTTCCCTATGAATAAGACAAATAATTGTAAAGACAAATCTATCTTTCCTATTTCCTCTCTCCTTAGAGAAAATTTAAAATGCTAAAAAACTGCTCACAACACTACTAAATATGATAGGTGGGTTATGATGAAACAAATTGTATTTTTAATTGACTTATATTTTTCTAATCCAAATTTTGGCTTTTTTTCTTATAGATGAAACAAGTTTATTATGATGTGCAAAACGATATACATTTTTTATAATATTTAGGGGTAACAATTCCGTACATCTTCCCTTTTAGCATAAAATTTTAAGAAATTGCAAAGAAGGAACCAATGGTGATTAGAGGTGTCAATTGAGCGGGTTTCGGGTTCATAAGGTTGTGGGTTAGTCGAGTTTGGGTTCATCTGATTGTGGGTTAGTTGGGTTGCGGGTCATTCAGATTACTAGTTAATAGGCTAACAGGTCAATCGGGCAGCCGATTAGGTAATTTAGGTTATAGATTGACAGTGATAGAAACCCGACTAACGGCGGGTTGAGTGATGCTGAGTGGCCATGCAGGGGTTTACAGATGTGGGGCTGCATGGAAGATGAAAACCGCCCCCTCCCCCTGCGGTTTTCAATGATGATTTTGCCTATAAAAGGCAGCCCCGAAAAACCTGTTCTCTTCACCCCTCTCCTTGTTCTTCTTCAATTTTCTGTTGTAGCACCCTACTTTCTTATAGTTTTTGCGATTAACGTTAATTCGTAAGTTTATTTTGTATATTTTATTGTTATTTGTGATTTTTATGATATTAACTGAATTACGGTTTTATTGCACATGCATTCCAAAAGTTCACGTTTGGGTTACGGTGGAATGGTTACACGGAAGAGACCGGAAAGGGGGTACGTTAGGTCGACGGTAATTTTCATAAAATGATGGTCGCTACGAGACCGATGCTTGAAGAGCTCCATCAAATGTGTACTGAGGTTACTTGCATGGATGACACGAGAAGAGTTAGTCGTATGGTGTGTCGATATCCAAACAGACAAGGCGGGTCATTGTGGCATGAGGAATTTCTCACAACCACTCTTAGATAAAGTAGATACCATGCTCGAATTCTTGAACGCCAATAATCTTTTCAAAGCAGAGATGTTCGTTTACACCGAGGCGGTCGAAGGCGGTGGAGGTCGTTCTAGAGACGGCAAAACATCTGGTATCCACGGTGGAGGTGGATTATATGAAGATCATCCCTACCAAAGTTACCATGATCCTCATTCCTATTTTGAGTACCAAGAAGGAGGTGAAGGTCATCATTAATCCTTCCCATCATATGAAGAAGAAGTCCAACGGTACCATGACAACCAACCCGAGTACAACTTCCATTCAGGCGGGGATAGTTTTCACAACTAGCATTACGGAGCTGATGAAGGTGCCTTTCGTGATCTGGATCAGATGGAAGATGCCCTGCCAGCACCAGTTAGTGACCCCTCCGATGAAGAAGAAGATAAAAATGTCAGTGTAGACAACTTTGACCCTCTTGAAGGTGATGATGATTCGGGCCCAGAGTCAGACTCAAATTATGATGAGGTGTCTCATGACCGTGTACCTATCTCGTACTACAATCACATTACAGATGACGACTGGTGTGTCTACGCCGACATGGAGCCGCCAGAGGTGCGAGTACGGGGTCCACTCACTGGGTTTATGAAAGGCCAACAATTTGGTACGAAGAAGGAGGTGCGGCACGCCATTGATACTGAAGCAATGACTCGGCATTTGAATGACACACAACTCTTTCCAATACGAAGAGGCCCATAGTTAGATGTCGAAATCAACACGAGGGATGCAAGGCTAGGATTCGGTCCATCAACAGCAAGAGAGTCGGCCATTGGGTCATATCCCGCGCGGTGAACACTCACACATGTGTGTCATCCATAACATCCCAAGGTCATCGACAGTTGAAATTAATTGTGGTTGTCGCGGCTATCAAGCATCTAATTGAGCAAGAGCCCGACCTGAAGGTGAAAGTCATCATCGCTGATATTTCTAGTCGTTATGGATATATTATTAACTATAAGAAGGTGTGGCATGAAAAGCAGAAAGCTCTGGCCGCCATCTTTGGTGACTGGGAAGAATCATATGCATTCCTTCCCAGGTTGATTTTGGCATTGGAGGCGTCTAACCCTGGCACTGTTTTCTCTCCCCTCTACAAAGATGAAGAGATCCAGCCATCATTTCAAGACCAATGGCAACCATCATTTCAAGTGGAGAAAGCTTGCTGATAATTTATGGTGGATTGGTAAGCTCTCTATTTCACTGGTTAATTAATTTTGTCAACTGGGAATAGCTTATAGGAAATACAATGCAACACTTGGTTAGACTCTTTGTAAAGAGATGCATGTCTAAGGAAATAGGATTTTAAGCGATTATCATGGTCCTCCCATTTCTTGGAAAAATCAGGTTTTAAGCGATCCTCGGATCCCCCTTTTCTGTCAAAAAGGCTGCGTTTCTAAGAAGATATATACCTCTTCTAACAGTCTAACGAGAGTACCTGTATTTCTTTTAATTATTGAAAATTGGACAATTAACACTAACTTAAGACTTTTCTGTGTATTCCTCAACTGTTGCCTACCAAGAGAAGAAATTCAAAGAGAAGTTGCAGAAGATCCGTGAGCTACGCCCTCAAGGGCATAGTGGCTGGATGGACACGACCTAAACATGTGGACTTTTCATAAGGACGGAGGTACCAGATGGGGTATTGCCACACTGTAGATGAAATGCTGCCAACTGTTCATATCACCAACATTCGGTGGGGGATGATCATTCACACACCGCATTGCCGTCGATGGGCAGATGGGTTAGGATGACGATATCTTTTAGTGTGATGGTGCACTCTCCTTCGCGAAAGTTGAAGCAATGTGTCTCTTTTCGTCATCTCTCCACCAGTGCGGTGATGAGTTGACGATCGATCTTTATCACTAAAAAATGCCTAATCGACTCCAACCGTGCCTTTTTGAGAAAGGGCAAGATGACGTCGTTTCATGGGAGCACATTGCTCGTACCTCTATAGCGGATTATTTAGTGTGCCTCCTAGCAAAAATTTTAACGTTTACCATAAATAACATTTTAAATGAATGCTAATTTAAAGAGATACATATTCAAATATTTGAAATTAATTTTGTACACATACACATAAATCCATGACATTATTGTGTAAATCGTATTGATTGTTTTCAATAATTTAATCGAATACAATGCAATAGTCGTTAGACTCTTAGAAGAGGTATACATCTTCTTAGAAACACAACATTTTTTATAGAAAAGGGGGATCCGAGGATCGCTTAAAATCCGATTTTACCAGGGAATGAGAGGATCATGATAATCGCTTAAAACCCCATTTCATTAGGCATACATCTATTTATAAAGAGTCTAGGCGGCGCTATGTATTCGATTAAATGATTGAAAACACCAACACGTTTAAAAATGATCAAATTTATTTTATATTCTACTAAGTATGTTAGCAAAATAAAAGAATGACAAATGATGAAGAATTGTATGTACCTCGTGATCGTTCCAAACATCACTTGAACGATGGTTGGGTTGGTCGTACAACACGGTTGGATCACTAGGTCCTTGATCAACATAATATCATTGGTTGTATATATCCACGTCGTCCCCAACCTACGATAGAATAATAACAAGGTAAGTATATAGATTAATTAAAAAGGTAATAACAACAACAAAAATTTGGTAAAATGAGTACGTATCGCTTGAAATTCATCATAATAAACTCCCTCTTCTTGGAACCACTCCTCCATTTTTTCGCGAAAGTCGGACAGAGATTCGACGGGTTTTGAAGGAAAAATCAAAGATATGTTTTCTGATGGCAAATCGGACTTAGCCACAACCAACAGATCACTATTTCCTAGGCTTTGGGGGGGGGGGGGGGGGTTGGATAGAGAGATAATTTTAGAGAGAGAAGAATGAGTTGTCGTGTGAATAAATGGAGACGAGAGGTGGTTTTTATAGCACTCGGACCGCACCCTCCAAGGGCGGTTTCGTAATTTCCCCCAACCAAAACCCGCACCTCAAGCGCGCGGTTCACGTAACCCGAAGAGGAAACCGTTCCCCCTAGAGTGCGGTTCTCGATCCCTTGCGCGGATCGCAGCCCTGGCGCGCGGTCAACAGTTCGACCACCGCCTGATCCAACGGTCGTGGGGACCTGCCTCTTCCCCGCTTGGTTCGTGGGCTTCCGTAGCGAGAACCGCATTGTCCCCATGTGGTTTCCTTGTAAACCGCACCTCTGATGTGCGATTTTGATAAAATAGTGTTATTTCTGGAATTTCTGTGGGCATGATGCTATTTTTATAATTTTTTTTAAAATGATACTATTTCTAGAAAAATTCTAAGAGAGGCTGCTAAAACGGGGGAAGTTTTGTACCGGAGAATAAAACCCTAACGTGAATCACCCTATAAATTGGTCCACTAATCCTAATTCTCACGTATGATTAAAATTAAAATTAATCAGTTTAATTAAAATATCCTTATTACCCTTAACTAACCAA